TCCTCACGGAATCAATCAGAACTCCACCACCAAGATGAAGCTAACACTGGAATTTCAAACGAAAGGTCCACTCATGCCAAACGTTACACGTTTCCACCCAACACTCAGAGCATTCATCTTTAATTAGCAGAGAACTATTTGATTATTTACCAGTTATTCCAATAAATCATTAAAAATAAACAGTGTAATTCCTTTAGAAATGTGGCACGCTGCATCAAGACAAACGGTTCATCTCAATATATCCAAGAACCATCTAAAGACCACAGAAAAATCTACCCAGTAGATACAATGCAGAGTCCTTCTACCATACTTGCTACAACCTTCCCTCTGTCTCTGTAAACTTAAGCTCACTGGAGGCTTAAATCAAAGGCCATGTGGAGGAACTCCTTTTCTCCCAAGAAGTTGCTACCTCTCATTTCTCTCAGTCTGAAGTCACAGATTGTTCACTCACATTGCTCCTCAACTTTCTTCACCTGTTTGTGTATGAACAGGAGTGGAAAGAACTATCTACACTCCAATATCCTGGTACACTTCCATCCCTCCGAACCCTACCTGCTTGGATTTATTGAAGTTACTTACATCTCAAGTCCCATACAATAGGTACAAGGCAGACACCGGAGGAGAATTGCGGGGAAATTAAGCCAAGGCAACACCTACTGTCCCTCAGTTTCACCTGAAACTCACCAGCTGTAGCTAACCCAGTGATCCAGACAGCAGCAACATCTGTTCCTTCTCACAGACATCAACCAGTCTAAATCTGAACATGTTCATACTAATATGCAGAGGTCGCTGCATTTCAGCTTTCTTTTCAGAACAGTCCTCGGCCTATGTTAACTGGTAAAGCTTTAGTGAATATAGACCAAAAGCATGACAGGAACCAGCCTGATAATTTAACAGTATACCACTGTCCTAGGCTCAGAAATCTTCCCATTATATACAGAAATACTGTCAACATCATCTTCATTCTCAGCACACAGAGCCCACTGTGCCTCACTTAATGGGCTCCTGCAGCCCAACTGGCTATTCATTTCACCACTGAATTACTTAAAAATTAACTTCTCATCAACAAGAATTTCTGAAAGTTAAGACACAATAATTATAATTTCATGTTACCACCTGATATCATGACAGAGCTGTGGTTTAAGCCACCTGGATACCCTTACTACCTACTTTTATAGTTTACACACACACGAGAAAAACGGAGTTCCTTGAGTTTATAATGATTGTTCCTGGAGTAACAGTAAGTTTTATTATCATCCATATGTACCCTCATCAAATCCACTTTTAACGTAGCTTTTCCCTGGCAAGTATACATGGGTATGTATGTGCATTCTCACGCATGTAAATGTACATGCTCTGCCAGTCAAGAACAATGCGGAAATAAAGGCTTTTAAAGAAATTAAGAACAATTATCAAATACAACAGTGAGCTTCTGACGCTCCTGAATGCAATCTATTTAAAGCATGACAGATAAGCAGGTGGCATAGAAGAAAATAAATTTACAAAAACTCCCCCCCTCACCAAACAGAACATGAATGTACTGGAAGAAAAACAGTGCCATCTACTGACAACATCTGTTTAACTCATAAACGATGTCTCCCCATGGCCTGATTTTGTATCAGTTTCTCTACGCAAAACTATCATAATCTAAAACTACAGAGAGCATCCCTTGAACCAGATTGTGGCACAGAACTGTGAAATCGTATACATTTTGTTACAGTACTATTAGTTTCAAAAAATTGCACGTTTAACTCCAAGCACCACAAGAGCTGTAAAGAATTACCAGAAGTTATCTACTCCTTTTACTTCCTTTGAGACTTTACATCTGCCATCCATGATATATTTTGGGCCAACCTGATTTTAAGTATCTCCAGTGAAGTATATTTATACCCTCTTCCTACACAGCCTATTCCAGTATGTATCTCTGCTTTTAGAAAATTTTGCTAGCACTCAAACCAAACGTTTTTCTGACGTTTAAGTTCTGTCTTTCTAATCCTGCTAAAACTGTGTTCTCCCATTCCTTTTCAACAGCCTTTTACACATGGCTCCCCCTCGTTCCCAGCCTTATTTGCCTAACAATGCCAATTTGTCAGTCATTCCCCATTATCACAATTTAGACTATCATTCTTTGTTTGATGTCCTTTAAACTCAATCCAGTTTGCCCACACCGTTATCTAAAAGCAAGCCACAAAACTGGACACATTAATCCAGCTTGGCTTCTCTGATAAGAGATGGAAAATTAGTCCACGTACCCTGTGTTCAATGACAGCTTATGAAGCTGATGAAGCCCAGCTAAGGTTTCTATCTAAAAAACCTGCTACTGTTTCCTTAACTGTACAACTTCTTTTTCAAGGAAAAAGATAAATCAGACTCTTCTGTTCTTAAGAAGTTAACATTATGGTTACTTATCTCCCTATCTTTGCATGCTTAAGTTGTCAAAGCAACTTTTTTTTTTTTTTGGACACTATCCTCATTCACCACAAACATCTCTGACATCACATTGTTTCTCAAATTCTTTAAGGCATCTTAGGATGAAGTTTTTAGCACAGAAGTCTATGGTCACAATGACAAAAAAAAAATTAGGTTTTGACACAACAGATTTCACCTATATATTAAGAAGTTGAGCCACAGCCAAAAAATGTGTCATCGATAAGCCCTTTAAAATTGTGCAAGTTAAGTTGGCTATAAAAAATAGGTAAGAATGTATTTTCAATACTGTTGCATCCACTTTGTCTATAAGAGACTTGTTTTAATTCCTCCAAAGACTTGCATTATTTTCAGATCTGTTTCTTAAGAAAACTGATCAAACCTCTGTTTTTAATATTGATTCCTATCCATGAAGTGCGAACAGCCTCATCAAACAACCCTCAAGAGTAGTATCTCTTTTTCAAGTTTCATGAGAACCTGCAGTCTTCCAGAAAGGAGGACTGTTAGGGCTTATCAATACAAGGAACTGCGCTAGTATCACTACATTTAGTACATTATTTTTCATCTAGTTATTTTAGACTGACTTCTTGGGTAGGTAATGCACAATCTTCGAATCCAACTTAGTTTAAAATATGTTCCAAATGCTATAAATTAAAACCTAATTACTTTCTTTGCATTTCTGAAAAATGAGATGTTGCTTCTCCTCCCAGCAAGCCTTCTGGTCACTTCAATGGAGGAACAGCAGCCTCCCTCCCTGACTTCAGAGGCAAACTTACTCTCTTCCAAGCCAGGACAAAATCAACAAGAGTGAATAATTTCTAACAAAACTCTTGCCTAGCAGCTATGATTTGGCTGTTTAATGTGACAATTAAAGGAAAAGTGAGTTTCATCAATTTTAAAGAAGCAGAACATGAAAATACACTTTTCCAAGGAAAACAACAGCCACTGGTGATGACATTCTGGGCAGAGTGTGCTCAATGCCTTACAGGTAGTTGATACAATTTCATTATCAAGCACTGGAGAAGTCCAGTCAGTGTCAAGTCAGAGTCGAAGTGAAAGGAGCGAAGTTTGATGGAAGCATTAACCTTCCTCATGCTGCCAACTTTTGCAGGCTACATGACCTTTATTGTGGAAACCAGTGAAAGAGTGAAATGCCCACAGTTGGGGTTTTTTTGGGTTGTGCTTTTTTTGAGGTGTTTTTTTTGTTTGGTTGGGTTTATTTTTTTTTTTTTTTTTCTTTTCT